GTGTAAACTTGTTCAACCACTCTGGAAAGCAGTATGGAGGTTCCTCAAAAGACTACACATAGAGCTCCCCTATGACCCAGCAATCCCACTTCTGGGCATTTACCCAAATGATCACAAACAAGGCCATATCTAAAGCTATCAGCACAACTATGTTTATCACAGCATTATTCACCATAGCTAAGATATGGAACCAATCCAGATGCCCCTCAGTAGATGAATGGATCAAGAAAATGTGGTGTATTTATACAATGGAATTCTATGCCTCCATCAGAAAGAATGATACCACCCCATTTGTAAGGAAATGAAAAAAGTTGGAAAAAATATTATGTGAAGTAAGCCAGACCCAAAGAAACACAGGTCCCATGATTTCCCTTATTTGCAATAAGTAGTATATGCCTAGGACAATCTTAGAAGATGTGCAGAATAGCTCAATAGCTATGTACATATGATTATATAAGACAATGATAAGTGAAATGAACTACAGGACATGGACACAAGAGGTTTTTCTTTGTTGTTACTGTTTTTAATGTACTATGTGATTGCTTTTATTTCTTTTGTATCTTCTTCCCCCTATGGTTTATCTGCTGTTGTCACTGTATTTGATTTTGGTACCCTGGTATTATATATACGTTTATTTGAATTAGGGAAGGGAAGGGGAACAACATTATGGTGAGACAAAGAACCAAGGCAATAGTGATATACACAAGACAATATGTTGGAAATGATCTGTACAACCTGGGGGTAGGGAGGATGGGAGGGAGGGAAAGTAGGACAAAAATGAGGGAAGGGGTAACAAGTTTGACAAGAAATGTACTTATTATCCCCCTCACTTAAGTAACTGTAATCCCTCTGTACATCACTTGGACAATAAATAAAACAATTTAAAAAATTAAAAAATAAAAATTTCCAAGCTGGGTGCTGGTGGCTCACACCTGTAATCCTAGCTACTCAGGTGGCTGAGATCTGAGGATCATGGTTCAAAGCCAGCCCAGGCAAGAAAGTCTGTGAAACTCTTATCTCCAATTAACCACCAGAAAATGGGAAGTGGTGCTGTGGCTCAAGTGGTAGAGTGCTCATCTTGAGTTGAAGAACTAAGGGACAGCGCCCAGGCCCAGAGTTCAAGCCCCACCCTTCCCCCTCCAAAAATTTCCAGAGCCTGACTATGGCAGCAAAAAGAAAACTGGCATTTAGAATTGCTCTGGGGGCTGGGATGTAGCTCAGTGGCAAAGCTCTTGCCTAGCAAGTGCAACATCCTGGGTTTGATCCCCAGTACTAAAAAAGAAAAGACAAAAAAGTAAAAAAAAAAAGGGTTGGAAGTGGCACCGTAGCTCAAGTGGTAGAGCGCTCGCCTTGAGTTGAAGAGCTGAGGGACAACGCCCAGGCCCAAAGTTCAAGCCCCACGACCGACAAAAAAAAAAACAAAAAAAAAAACAAAAAAGGGTTGCTCTGAGCTGGGCAGTGGCTCATGACCGACAAAAAAAAAAAAACAAAAAAAAAAACAAAAAAGGGTTGCTCTGAGCTGGGCAGTGGCTCATATCTGTAATCCTAGCTACTCTGGAGGCTAAGATCTGAGGATCATAGTTCAAAGACAGCCTGGAGACTCTTAGCTCCAATTAACCACTAAAAAGCCCAAAATGGAACTGTGGCTCAAATAGTAAAGTGTTAGCTTTGAGTACAAAGTTAAGGCACAGCCCCCAGGCCCTGGGTTTAAGTACCAGGACCAGCACACACACACACACACACACACACACACATGTGTACACACACACACACACACACACACACACACACACACACACACAAGAATTGCTCTGAGTAGGAATCTTGGGGATGAGGTGAAGGAGACATGAATTTATGCTTAAAAGTATGTGCATTAAAGTAAGGCTCGGGGGCTGGGAAGGTGGCTCAGTGGTAGAGCGCTTGCCTTGCATGCCTGAGGCCCTGGGTTCGATTCCTCAGCACCACATAAGAAAAAAGAAAAAAGCCGGAAGCGGCGCTGTGGCTCAAGTGGTAGAGCGTAGCCTTGGGCTGAAGAGCTGAGGGACAGCGACCAGGCCCAGAGTTCAGGCCCCACGACCGGACCCCCCCCCCCTAAAAAAGAAGTAAGGCTTGGCACAGTGGCTTACACTCCTCATCCCATGCAGGAGCTGTAAATGGTATTGTGGTCCAGGCCTGGCTGGGGCAAAACAACAACAACAACAACAAACAACCTTATTTGACAAAAAGAAACAACTAAATGGAAGATTAAAAAAATACAAAGAGTAGGGCATGGAATAAGTGATAGAGCATCTGCCTAGCAGGTTTGAGACCTTAAGTTCAAACCCTTGTACTGCAAAAAACAAAACAAAAATAAATATATAAACAAAAGCTAAAAGTGAAAACAATGTCTACCAAAGGAAAAATGGAAGTATAAAAGTGGCATATTGATACAATGGAACTTTAAAAGCCTTAAAAAGGAATTAAATTCTGACACATGCTACAACATGCATGAGTCTTTAAGGCATGCTAAGTGAGGGGCTGAGAATATGGCTTAGTGGTAGAGTGCTTGCCTAGCATGCATGAAGCCCTGGGTTTGATTCCTCAGTAGTACATTAACAGAAAGCCAGAAGAGGCGCTGTGGCTCAAATGGTAGAGTGATAACCTTCAGCAAAAGAAGCTCAGGGACAGTGTTGAGTTCAAGCCCCAGGACTAGCAACAACAACAACAAAAAAAAAAAAAAAAAGAAGAAGGAAAGAAAATAAGGCATGCTAACTGAAATAAACCAATGATGAAAGCACAGATATTATACTGTTTCACATATGAGGTGCCATAGTCAAATTCACAGAGGCAAGGATTACTAGGGGTTGTAGGGAGGGGAGAATGAAGAATTTGGGAACAGAGTTTTAGTATAGAAAGATGAAAAAAATGAAGATGGATAGAAGCAATGTTTGCAGAAAAACGATATACTAAGGCCACTGCATTGTACACTTAAAAATGATTAAAACGGTAAGTAATGTATTTTGAAACTCAAACTTTTATAGGATCTCTCTTTTTTATCAAAAGATAGACTTTTTCAACTGAAGTTATTTGACCAATAAGTATGCCACATAAACATACAGAGTGATTCGGGGCAACATTCAGGGCAACAGCAAAAGAGAAAGGGAAAGTATACAAGTAGAAGTCAGTTAATTATTCATGTCCATGTAATAGAGTACTACGCAACCGAAAACACTAATAGGCACCTCTAGCTCTAGTATATTGATTCAGAAAGAGTTCTGAGATATGTTGCAAGTGACTAAAACAAGGTACAAGTGTATATAACATATGCTAGCTTTTGTAAAAGAAATTGAATGAGTAAGATTGTATCCATACTCACAAGCATTTAAATAAAACATTGATAAGGACATGGAGTGGGTTGGGCCAAGGCTTGCAGGGAGGTTTCTCAGTGCATATTTAAAAATATTAATTTTGGCTTTTAACCAGGGGAGTGTATTATCTGTTCAGAATAATTAGAAATAATTAGAAGGTGAGATGAAAAAAGACGCAATGAGGTACTCAATTCATTCCATTTATCATTAATCCTCCACTCCTACCCCACCATTAACATTATGGATTTTGTGTGTGTGTGTGTGTGTGTGTGTGTGTGTGTGTGTGTGTGTGTCTGTTGTGGGGCCTGAACACACAGCCCAGGTACTTTCCCTGAGCTTTTTTTGTTCAAGGCTAGCACTCTACCACTATGAGCCACAGTGCCACTTCTGGTTTCCTGTGGCTAATTGGAGATAAAGAGCCTCACAGTCTTTCCTGCCAGGCTGTGTTTCAATCATGATCCTCAGATCTCAGCCTTCTGAGTAACTAGGATTACAGGCATGAGCCACCAGGGCTCTGCTAACATTATGGATTTTTCAGGTTGTTTTCAAGCTAAGATTACCGGAGACAAGCATACTAGTAACAGTGATATTTCAGGCTGTAATAGTTTCTATCTATAGAAACTGTCATTAACAGTCTCATTTCACAAAAGAGGAAACAGAGGCACAGAGATGTGAGGTACTCAGCCTTGCGCATTTGTTCCATTATTATTTAGGTAATGGGGCTTATACTCAGGGCCGAGGTCCTATCCTTGAGCCACAGCGTCAATTCTGGCTTTTTTGGTGGTTAATTTGATACGTGAGTCACATATTTTCCTGCCCCCGCTGGCTTCGGAGCCTTGATCCTCAGATCTCAGCCTCTTAGGTGGCTAAGGATTATAGGCAGCGGCCACCTGCGCTCGGCTCATTTCTTTAGGTTACATTATTAGAAGGGGGGTGTATTGGGTTAAGAAGTTGAATGTAGGGCTGGGAAGGTGGCTCAGTGGTAGAGCGCTTGCTTTGCATGCATGAGGCCCTGGGTTCGATTCCTCAGCACCACATAGGCAGAAAAAGCCGGAAGTGGCGCTGTCGCTCAAGTGATGGATGGAGCACTAGCCTTAAGTTGAAGAGCTGAGGGACAGCGCCCAGGCAATAAAAAAAATAAGTTGAATGTATTTAGTATACAAGAGCCAAATACTACTATGTACATTCGTGTTGTTATATGCCTGTCTTAAACGCACCTTCGCATTATGGAATACAATTGTGTATCAGCAAAATAAACGCATTTATCAAACTAAACAACGAGACAGGGATACATGATTGTTTTAACCGTTTCAACACTGAAGCTCGCAAATGCCTCCTTCGGGTTTTCCGCGCGATCTCTCTTCCGCCGGCAGAGGGCGATAGCCACGACGCGCCTCCCCATTATGGGCCTAATCAGCTTCCCAGGATCAGTGCGCCTGCGCACATCCCGCGTCAGGTGTCCAGCTTTGTGCCTGATCGATGTCTTCTAGGCCGCGTTGGCGTGCACTTCTCAGCCAGGGAGAGACTGTGGGAAAGAGTAGCTGTTCTCGGATCCAGGGCGCCCCTAGGCCTCGGGGTCTGGGGGGTTGGGGGTGGGGCTGGCGGGGTCGGGCGGCGCGTCGGGCAGCCCGCGAGGCGGGGCGGCGGGGCTGGGCGGAGCCCGCAGGGTCTTGGGCGTCGGTCGCCGGCGGTGCCCGAGCCGGGCACGGAACCCCAGACCGGACAGGTACGAACGAGCGACCCTGCCCGCCGTCCGCTCTGCCGTCCCCACGTGCTTGCGGGGCGCGGTGCCGTGGGCCGGGGTTCGACTCTGGCGCAGGGCGGGGCGCGGAGCCCGGTGCACTGGGCGGGGGCCGGCAGGGACGGGCCGCGCTCCGCGGCGGTGGGCGCCCGCCCGCCCGCCCGCCCGCCCGCCGGGATGTGGCGGCCGGGTTCGGCCGCCCCCCTCAGTTCTTCGGCCGGGCGGTGTGCGCCGGGCCCCGAGTTCCCCCGGAGCTGCCAGGCCCCTCCCTTCCCGGAGCGCCCGAGCCATTCCTGAGCCCGCACCGAGCCACAGGTTTCCAGTGGGCACGGGGCTGAGAATTCTGTCAGACGGAAGAAGGGAAGCGTGGGGGCCTGAGCGTGGGAGTCTAGATGGGAGTTCGGTGTGTATTCCCTGCCCCGGACCCGTCCCTCGAAAAGTCATCTTTAACACGCCTCTCAACTCAGCCACGGCTGAACCGCCCAGAGGAGTTCTGCGGTCTTAGAAGAGGCAGGGGTTTAGAACTTACCCGTGTCCTAACGCAGCGAGGAGAGCATCCATCCCTTAATACTGTTTGCTACTCTGCTATCAAGTACTCAGGGTCAGAAAGTTTTGAGGTGCAGGTTGATATCCATTCCCTGATGTACTACCAAAGCTGGAGCTGTGAGATGTTAAAAGTGACAATAACTTAATAATAATTAACTTGTAAATAAATATGTACGCAGCATATATTCACCGTACATCTAAAACATTTTATGTATTCACAGGTAATATGTTTACAAATAATACATATATTTGTTTATATTTACAAATAAATTATACATATGTAATTTTGTGTATATAATTTCTTAAAATGTTGACTCCTAAAGTATATAATAACTATTCCCACTTTTTTTTCCTTCAAATGGAATTGTCCTTAGTCCTTCCGTCATGTTTAAAAAATGTCTTTTTAAAATGTTGTCTTTGTTTTGTGTGTAATGAGGCTTTAGCTGGACTTTGAAGAGAAAGTGTGCTATGCAGGTTTAGAGAAAACCCCGTAAGCAGCTGCAGCGGTGCAGAGATGAGACTGCACATGTTAAATTAGAAGCAAGGAATGAGATGTCAGTAAAAAAATGCTGGGCAAGTGAGTATATGGACACAGCAGTATTTTAGAGGATGTATTTGCCTTACTGTTGTGTGTAAAGTGGTTAGAAATGTGGAAGGAGAGAGAGTCTGGCTTCACTTATCAGTAATGAGGACTTAGGCTGATGATAATGATACCTTTCTTTTATATATAACACTATTGATTATAGAACTTTTCATGACATAATGTCATTTGATTTAATAATCTCTGTGAGGTAGGCACCAAAAATGATAAATGGTATGCCTTAATTTTCCAAGCTATTAAACAGCAGAGGGTAATACCAAGAAAGAACTGGTATGTTAAGCCTTACTGGACATGAAGGTATAAAGGAAACACTGTTAGGGAGATTTAAAATAGTTGAGAGAATCGTTAATTATACTATTGACAATGGCCCTTCTAAGCTTTGCTCTGCCAGCTCTATTATTGTTAGTGGCTGCCTGGAGTTATAAGTTAGGAGGGATTGTTATAGTAGATTGATTCTCATGTTTCTTAGTCTGCCTATAGTTATGGGGTATTTCTGGAGGACTTGTAATATCTGTCCCATACCAGGGGAAATGGAAACTGCCTCCTCAGAGCCCTCTGAAGAGATGAAAGAGGTGAAAGAATGCCTGGTTCAAATCTAGCTTAGAGTCTTTGTCATCTTGGAAATTACGAGTTTGGCTCAGTGTTACTTTCTTTTTGAAATGTAGACCAGTACCAGTTGAGCTTAGGTTATAGACAGTCTGACCTCCTCATACCTCTTAGGAACTTTACTGTAACAGAGCATCAACACTGACTGCCATTTAAGCCTTATTAATAGTGTTGTTTTTTTAAAATCTACATTAGGGCCTGCTATGTGGTTCTTTTACCCTAGAACAGCTTGGGTTTTAGTGTCAATACCAAATTCTATAGTGTCTGGGACTGCCCTTGCACTTAGAACTTAGTTTATTAGGCTCTTATCTGGAGATGAAAGAGCAGCATCTGCTGGTGTGTGTGTGTGTGTGTGTGTGTGTGTGTGTGTGTGTGTGTGTGTGTGTGTGTGTGTGTGTGTGTGTGTGTGTGTGTGTGTGTGTGTGTGTGTGTTTGTAAGAGACAGTGTGTATTATGTCCTGCTCTAATCCCTTCCCTCTGTTCTGTACATCATTTTTAAGAGTGAAGTTACTTTCTTCAAAAGCTGTCGGACAGGGCTGGGAAGGTGGCACAGTGGTAGAGTGCTTGCCTTACATGCATGAGGCCCTGGGTTTGATTCCTCAGCGCCACATAAGCAGAAAAAGCTGGAAGTGGCACTGTGGCTCAAGTGGTAGAGCTCTAGCTGAAAAGCTGAGGGACAGCGCCCACAACTGACAAAAAAACAAAAACTGTCAGTTTATATGCCTATAGTCTGCTGTTGGTACAAGCTTCAAGTACTGTGTTCAATGCTTAGATACTGAGTTGGCTAAAACTATCCTGAAGGAATCATGGTAGGATTGAATGGACAGTAGATCAAATGTAGTATTGTAATGGAAATATATCCAGGGTGCTGTGTGAGGACAGGGGAGGGAATGACTATTTGTGCATGGAGAAGTTGGGAGAAGCTTCAGGAGAGATGATTATTGAAGGATGAGAGAATAGTCCTAGTGACATTTGAAGGACAAAAGAAAACTCTGGAACCAAGGCAGAGATAATTGAGCCAGGCTCTGGTGGCTCACGCTTGTAATCCTAGCTATTCAGGAGTCTGAGATCTGAGAATCTAAGCCTCTGTGGATCTCCTTCCCAGGCAGGAAAGTCCATGAGACTCTTCAGTTAACTACCAGAAAACCAAAGTGGAGCTTTGGCTCAAAGTGGTAGAGCAATAGTCTTGAGAACAAGCTCAGGGACAGTGTCCTGGCCCTGAGTTCAAGCTGTAAACCTACCAAAACAAAAAGGAGCAGTAATTGGTGTGACTGGATTAATACTTAAATCACCTTTTTTTTTTTTCTCTTGAGACAAGGTGTTGCTTTATAGTCCAGAGTGGCTTGGAACTCTGAATCCTCCTGCCTCATCTTTCTTAGTGCTAAGATTGCAAGTGTCTGACAATCACTACTTGCAGCCCTGAAGCCAGGTTCTAAGTAGCCTGTAGTGCTCTGCTAAGAAGATTTAATTTTGTTGGCAGAAAAACCCCTGGAGGGTTTTAGACAGGGGAGTAACATGGCTATATTTTGAGAAGTTTAACTTTGGAAATAGACTGAACAGGAGAATCTAGAGAATGGTTATTAGAAAACCCTTATAATACTATAGACACAGTTGGGAGACTGGTAATAACATAGAAATGGTTTGGAGCTGAACTACAATTATATCAGTGGGGAAGGAGAGGAAGGGACACATCTGAGAGAGGCTATGGGGATGAATTAACCTGATTAGTGACCAATTGTGGAGAACAAGGGAGAAAGAGTTGTTGAGGATGATTTGTTTTATTTTGGATGGATAGTGGTTCAGTAGCAAAGAGGGACTATAGAAGAGGGATTGTTTTTAAGGGGAGAAGATAGCAAAAGTGTTTGGGCATGTTCAATCAGAGTAGTCTCTGGCATCTAACAGAGATGGGGGCCTGAAGTTCAGAAGAGCTCTCTGCTTAGGGTTGGAGTGTGTAGGTAGTAGTTGAAGTTATGGGAGTTGATGAGCTTTCCCAGCCACGCTTATAGAAGGCTGGAGGTAACAGAGGAGAGGAGGGATTGGTATATGAGGTAAGAAAGAATACTGCCCAGGAAGGTAGCAAAGAGAAAAATTCCAGGGAAGGGACCTTTCAATTGCTGCAGGGAGGTACAACTGAAGGCACTAGAGAAAAGATGATTGCTAAATCATGTCCTCAGAGGAGAGTGGAAGGTTTGGTTTGAAAAGAAGGGGGCACTGTTTCCTTTGAAGTAGAATGATGTAAGAAAGTAATGAGTTTAGGAAGAAAGAAATAGTGATTGATGTAGATTATATCTACTTTTACAAAGGAATTTTTTTTTTTTTTTGGGTCTGGTCGTGGGCCTGAACTCTGGGCCTGGGCGCTGTCCCTCAGCTCTTCAGCTCAAGGCTAGCACTCTACCACTTGAGCCACAGCGCCACTTCCGGCTTTTTTTCTTTTTTGCTTATGTGGTGCTGAGGAATCGAACCCAGGGCCTCAGGCATGCAAGGCAAGCGCTCTACCCCTGAGCCACCTTCCCAGCCCCTACAAAGGAATTTTTATCCAGCAAGCCAAGTTTTCTTTCTCAGCAAGGCTTTGCTGAAGGATAGGGGTGTTTGTGTGGATTCCATCAGGAATAGACACTTAAAAGTGGTAAAGGAAGCTGGAAACAACTGTTAAGAGGAAAGAAAATAATTTAGATAAGCTCCCAGATAGAATCTTATATTTACAGAAGCTCCCAGATGGAACCTTACACTTACAGGTGTCCTTCTTTCTCATAATAATCACAGATATATCGGTCTGGGAAGGTGGCTCAGTGGTAGAGCGCTTGCCTTGCATGCCTGAGGCCCTGGGTTCGATTCCTCAGCACCACATAAGCAAAAAGAAAACAGCCGGAAGTGGCGCTGTGGCTCAAGCGGTAGAGCGCTAGTCTTGAGCTGAAGAGCTGAGGGACAGCACCCAGGCCCAGAGTTCAGGTCCCACGATCGGACCAAAAAAAAAAAAAAATCACAGATATTTATTGAATGTTTCATACCAAACACGATTTTATAGGAGGGGTAATTGAAGCATGGAGAATTACTTTGGCTTAGTATTTATGTTTGATAAATATATATCTGTAGATGAGATTCCTTCTCTTCAGGCATCAGAGAAGGAAGGAATGTAATCAGAACTCCCACTTTCTGGATCTAAGGAGGGATACTCATCATGACAGTCTTTGAGCATCTTGGTGGAGTAGAGAGGCAGGGCAGTGGTGTCAAT